TGGCCGCCATGAAGATCCCCACCTCGGAGAAGCCCTTCGAGTGCACCGAATGCGGCAAGTGCTTCCTGAGGAAGCGCCAGCTGGTCGTCCACCAGCGGACTCACACCGGCGAGAGGCCGTTCCAGTGCCCGGAGTGCGGCAAGCGCTTCGCGGAGAAGGGCAAGCTGGTGAGGCACGGCCGGGTCCACACCGGGCAGAAGCTGTACCTGTGCGAGCAGTGCGGCAAGTGCTTCTCCGACAGCTCGACCCTCATCAAACACAAGCTGGTGCACACGGGGGAGCAGTACATCTGCACCGACTGCGGCCGCAGCTACAACTACAAGACGTCGCTCATTAAGCACGCCAGGGTGCACGCAGGGAAGGCCTTGTATGGGCGGGGCGGAGGTGGGAGTTAAAATACGGGATCTTTTTCCATGTCAGTCGGATTGCCTTTCGAATACAGCTGCTTTCGAGGGCGGGACTTACCAGAATCCTCACCCTTCCACCCCTCCGTAACCAACTCACTACTTCCTCTCCAATGGAGGTCTGCAGAGGACTCAAAGTGAACCATCATGTGACCTTGTCCCCACAGTGCCATCAACGTGCCCCCACAGTGCCGCCAATGTGTCCCCACAGATTTCAGAGCTGTATTTATGAAGCAGGTAAGGAGTGAAAGGGGCGGGCCAAGGGCAATTGGAACTATCATTAAACACTACCCCTTTAAAAGGGAACTGCTGGCACTAAGTGGTTGGAAGTACAAGGTCAGGTGGGCGGGGCCTAAAGGGAAGCTGTCCTTCCACCATTCAGAGAGAGGTTACAGAGCAGAGCCTTTGGGTGCTGGAGCTTCACTCACCGCCTGCTTAGGCCATCCAAAAATCCCTTTGGAAGTCCTGGGTTGAGTCACCAGGGGCCAAGCTGGATGGCGCCATCCTTCCCTTATCAGCGAGTCCAAATGTAGCGGTTTACTGCCCTTGTTTACTTCACTGACAAAGCACACCACATGCGTAAAATGGCATCTCTGGGGTCCCTGTACACGAGGTATGTGTCACCCCAGTGCCACCATTATGTCCCCCCAGTGCCGCCAATATGTGCCGCGATTGTGTCCCCAAAGTGCCACCAACCTGTCGGCCTGTTGCCAACCCCCGATCTCTCTACTATCATACAGATGACGTGTCCAGGGCCTTCACTAACCGACGTGTGCACACCAGGAAGACGCCCGTCGAGACGTCTGGCAAAGCCACAACGCTGGCGGACCCCAGGCTGAAGGCCACCAAGCAGAGCGTCAAGAAGAACCCGTTCCAGTGCTCGGAGTGCGGCAAGTCGTTCGTCTGGAGCTGCAACCTGGTGGCGCACATGAAGATCCACACCTCGGAGAAGCCCTTCGAGTGCACCGAATGCGGCAAGTGCTTCCTGAGGAAGCGCCAGCTGGTCGTCCACCAGCGGACTCACACCGGCGAGAGGCCGTTCCAGTGCCCGGAGTGCGGCAAGCGCTTCGCGGAGAAGGGCAAGCTGGTGAGGCACGGCCGGGTCCACACCGGGCAGAAGCTGTACCTGTGCGAGCAGTGCGGCAAGTGCTTCTCCGACAGCTCGACCCTCATCAAACACAAGCTGGTGCACACGGGGGAGCAGTACATCTGCACCGACTGCGGCCGCAGCTACAACTACAAGACGTCGCTCATTAAGCACGCCAGGGTGCACGCAGGGAAGGCCTTGTATGGGCGGGGCGGAGGTGGGAGTTAAAATACGGGATCTTTTTCCATGTCAGTCGGATTGCCTTTCGAATACAGCTGCTTTCGAGGGCGGGACTTACCAGAATCCTCACCCTTCCACCCCTCCGTAACCAACTCACTACTTCCTCTCCAATGGAGGTCTGCAGAGGACTCAAAGTGAACCATCATGTGACCTTGTCCCCACAGTGCCATCAACGTGCCCCCACAGTGCCGCCAATGTGTCCCCACAGATTTCAGAGCTGTATTTATGAAGCAGGTAAGGAGTGAAAGGGGCGGGCCAAGGGCAATTGGAACTATCATTAAACACTACCCCTTTAAAAGGGAACTGCTGGCACTAAGTGGTTGGAAGTACAAGGTCAGGTGGGCGGGGCCTAAAGGGAAGCTGTCCTTCCACCATTCAGAGAGAGGTTACAGAGCAGAGCCTTTGGGTGCTGGAGCTTCACTCACCGCCTGCTTAGGCCATCCAAAAATCCCTTTGGAAGTCCTGGGTTGAGTCACCAGGGGCCAAGCTGGATGGCGCCATCCTTCCCTTATCAGCGAGTCCAAATGTAGCGGTTTACTGCCCTTGTTTACTTCACTGACAAAGCACACCACATGCGTAAAATGGCATCTCTGGGGTCCCTGTACACGAGGCATTATATACAGCCAGCCAGCAACGATGGCGACGAACGAGAGGGAGAATCCACCGATAATGTGTATGTAATACAGTAATAAAAATATGAAACAGCAAACACGGTGGGAGGAGCTTCAGAAACTTCCAGAACATCAACTCGAACTTTATTTGTTTGTTTTATTGTGCGTTGCGGCGGGCTGCACTGAACGCTGCAGATCGTTTCCTCTTGAGGTTGGGGGAGGGAAGCGGGACTGCACTGTATGCAACGGGTAGCCGGAGACGTACAAAAGATGAAGGCCGGTGGAGACAGTTCTCACTTCCTGTATTAGTCCCAAAATATTGGTTATGTCCTTCCAAACGGAGCTCCCAAAAAAGTACAACCCAGTTTGGCATGATGGGTTGTAAGGAGACGCTTTATAACAGTAACGAAGCTCCTCGTAGGAGGTCTGGAGCCTGTGGAGGGTGCTATGCTGCTTGCCCCGCCCCTGAGGTACCTGTGCAGCAATCCTGGCTTGTGACAAGGCTGTAGTGTGATGTTGCTTCTGGTTTTATCATCCCCCGCCCCCCTCACTGACGCTCTTCAAGTGGCTGCTGGTGGTCCCAGCCTCAAGTCCACTCCTAAAACCATTATATAGCTTTAAAGGGAACCGGTCACTACCGGGCCGATGCAAGAACCTGAAGAAATGATCCTAAAGGAAGATGGTCAGCCCCTGCGTATTTGTCTCCTGACAGGTTTTCATTTAAGCCCAGACCACTCTGGAGCTGAGTCAGGCCCGAGAGGCCCACTGAGGTCTGACAGATGCTGCCCTGCCAATAGCCTGCACCCTTACCGAGAACGAATTCTGTCTTACAGTCCCAAAGTGACCACAACATTATCAAACCCAGTGCCCTCCCGCACTTCACGTTCCTCCTCCCTACAGCGTTCTGTTATGTGATGGCGCCTACCACACTCCGGAGACATTACCAGCTTGAGGTCAAACGGTTGGCCCACCAGACATGAGCCTAGACCTTCACTGTCGCCCAGCTCCTGAGTGTCCACAACAGCACCATATAGCAGAGCCCTGTAGTGGGAGGAAATGTAAACAGCTGCGGGACCCTACGGCTAGAGGAAAGAGGCTAGCAATTGCTCAAGGCAGGAGATGACATCACAATCAGGTGTGACCAGGCTGAAAGGAAACAGTTGGGGCCTATAGCTGGGGGACGGAAGTTCTGGTTACGGCTGGTAACTAGGAATCGGATTA